TGCACTCTGTAACAATGAAAATGAATAGATCTCAGCTTCTTCAGGGTGATTGTCTCACTTAGAAGAACTCAAAAGGTCGTGTACCACCCCCTGTATCTTCTAGAGCCCATGATCCTAATTCAGTATCTTGGTGATATTTGTGTATAGATATCATATAGATATTGTGGAATTTAAATATCAGATGTTCCTGCTCCATTGCGGAATGGCAGAGAAGGAGTTTGTGTGCCTGAGACTTCTTTGGGCCAGACTCATTGCTAATGCATGACTCCTGAGGTCAGTAGACTGATCCAAATAACCCAGTTATACTCATTGAAAATAGAGCATCATTCTTCAGCATCATTTGTCTAACTCTAGTTTTATCTACAGCTAATATAAGGAGAATTTTTAAATCTATTAAAGTTTCAAATCTGATAAGTAGGTGCTTGATATATCAAAGAAACCAAATGTTTCCTAGATTAGTGAAAAATAGAATAGATGAAATTATAGTCAGTATATTCCTGGTTAAGGGCTGTTCCTAGTAACTGATTCCTCTGAAATTCAGTGAGTATGCAGGTTACTCCATTTTTAAACTATTAACATAGGCACTCTTAACAGTATGTACTTTAAAAARGTATGTTCCTTTCTGTTAGAGACTGAGAGTGCTGTGGGTTCATATTTTACTGAATTTATTCAAGTATTCAAGTTCTGTGGTATTGAAATTTTCCTAAGAACAGGACAGCCCAGTTGAAAATATCATAACCTCTAGTTTTTCTAAATTAATGTGTAGCTTAAGAAATCAAGAGATTATTCATTGATGGATCCCAAATATAAAGAAGAATGAAGCTGTACAAAAATAGAATATACTATATTTCAGTTTATAAAACACCAACAAGAGAAAGGTTGTGGTTTTGTTTCTCAACTGAAAAAGAAATTCCCCTTATTTTCTGTCAGAGTTTGATTTTTTTCTAGGATCAAAAGAGATACAGAGGGAGATACAGAGGGAGGCACAAGTCATGCTACCAAACTCTGTACAGAAAACAGAAAAACAAGTTCCACTTGGGAAGAATGACCATTCTTCAGGCCTATCATTTTGCAAAATTATAGAAGATCCATAATTTCCACAGTGATGCTTGTATAGCCAATTATCCCGTTTTTTCCCACCAACAGGCAAAAGCCGGGAACATATAAAGAGCATACTGTGAAGAATATGTAATAGAAAGGTAAAAAAAAAAAAAAAAAGAAAAATTTGGGGCTTCTATATAAAATTCAGCATTTATAATGACACACTGCTCCAAAGATTTTTCTTCTAGGACTGTATCAATCTATGCTGGACATCTGTGAACACACGTGTCTCAGGAAATCACAGCCTTGCTAAAGATTCTGGTTTGATCACGGGTATTTTTACAGAACTGTGTTTCTGCTTTCCAGAGCTTTAGAAAATGTAACATTAATAAGCTAAACTTGCTTAGTAGCTTTCCATGAAATGGAAATTCCTCCACAATGGAGGAATGGAGGAATTCCATGGTGGGAATGGAGCCACCTTCAGCCTTTGTATGCACACAGGAAAACTCTCAGGCACTTTCTACTGTGTGCTGTGAAGGCTTACGTGCTGCATTGGAAAAGGCTTTTTTTCAGGTTTCCAAAAGAAAATGCATAATTGCTTGGTGAGTCAGAGTAGTGGGCAGAGGGCTGCAGCCAAAGCTCACTTGCCAAGGGAAGCTGAGGTCAGGGATGAAGAGTCCAARGATATGGGAGCTATGGAAAGCAGCTTGTTCTACACCTTTCATGACCTCTCACTGACAGCAATTTTTTTTTTTTTTCCTGAGACTTGTTTAGGATGCTTTGACAGAGTAGTCTGTGCAATATGAATCACCAGAGTGTTTAGCTTTCAGAACTTATAATACACTTTATTGTCCTCATTTTAGAGAAGAGGCATACAGGGATAAAAGCTAAAGAGTATTAAAAATATACTTGTGGTCAGTCAAGTTTACAAGCTAAAAATAATTATGCCACCTCCATAAGTTAAAAAAAAAAAGTGATGCAAATTCTACAGTTGCTTCACATGAAATATAGTAGGCTTGCAGTTTTATGACAAGTTGTAGTGCTGATTTTTGCAACAAGCAAAAGCAGTGGTGCTGCAGCTAGTTTTATAYAGCACTGCTACTACTTCTAATTCTGAAAAATAAGAGATTTTAAGACTGTGAACATCTGGCTAAAACCAGAATAACTTCCATACGCACAGAGAGACTAACTTAACATTATGTCACTTCATAACTGATATCTGACAATAAAGTCATCAGAATCTCCTTTCCTTTCTTCAAAAAGTGTACTGATATTAAGGTCAGATCTAGGTCAAAGGAGAGATATTTATATCAAAACAAATATGATAACATGAAAACTGTATTTTCTCAGTTCTAAACAAGGTGCTTACTATTTTTTGCAGCTGGTAAAAAAGGGACAGAAACACTTTCACTTCAGCACTTGTGCATAAGCTCTAGTTCCTATGCTTTGAAAGTATCTTTTAGCAACAAGGAGATTTACTAAAGCCAATCACAATATCAGTACCTTTACCACACTCACATATATTCCTTGACTACTATTTTGAACTCTTTTGACAACCTATTGATCAGCTGCTATGAAACATTGGATTAATACTGCCACTATCCCTAATAAGATTGTAATGATTTAAAGCTCCAAAATAAGATGAATGAAATTGAAAAAAAATGTTTGTCATGACTGTTCTGCACTTCACAAGGATGGATACCATCTGATTTTGGACCAAACCCCTTCCAAAGCAACATTTCAGTCATCGAAGTCCTTTTGTAGCTAGTTTTCACAAAACTCTATTTWACTCTATTTGCTTTATACTTATTTTATTAGTGCTTTAGGTTCTAGCTATGAGTAATGCTATAAAGATAACAATTACTATAGTGTACCAAACCTAAGGATTCTGCTGACATTATAGGAGTTAAACACACATACTGTAAATAGAAATATAGAAAATTATCACTGTTTCTTCTGGTCAGGACATTTTTCACTTACGTATTGTTCATCACTGTGGTATGTATATATGTGCATAGGAATGATATATGGCTTCCTTTGGAGCACAGCTGAATCTCTTTGACAGCTAATGATTGCACAGAAGCTGACTAAGAAGATCTGTTTCAGTTTAAACAGTCAGCAGCCTCTTAAACAGCCAAGTTGACATTTCTGTGCTCAACCAGGATAGGTTCAGTTTGAAGTACTAGCTGAAAGTGGAACATAACATAATCCATTATGGATGGATGTTTAGGAAAAGAGTTGTTCTCAGCATAGATATGCTTGTAATAAGCTGTCACATGAACTGCTACATATGGGATTTCAGTAAACAGAGTGGCAAGTCCTCCAGCTCTGCAGAAGACATGCCTCTGTAGCAATATAAAAGAAGAATTCACTGAAYGTAACACAAATTCTGAAGGGCATAAGACACAAGGTCAAGTGGTGCAAGATGACAAGTGAGAAGAAATTAAAGATGAACCCAGGAGCAACCAACACAGTGAAAAACAGATTCAGTTCACAGCAAAATGCTCTTTGAAGTGTGGGGGTGAGCAGGTAAARGCACAGTAGACAAAGAGCAGACTTGCCTAGTTTGCTTGCAGTTTTCAGTTTCGGCAACCCTATTACTTACAGAGGAGTGATGCAGAGAAGAGGAGAGTCCATAAGTGTTGGAGAACACTAAGCTTTCCCTACCAAGCAATTAACTTGCAAGTTAATTGTTGTGTTCTTCCTTCCCATACAACTCTTATAGTGTGAGGAAGAGAGTAGTTAAAAAAAAAACACAAAAAACAAACAAAAAAAACCCACTTCCTAACAGTTTAAAGAAAATTCTGAGGCAAATAAAGAGAAGGACAAGGAATTACATGAGACCTTGAGTCTCTTATTTCTTAGTATTTCTTATTGTAAGCAAGAGAAGTTAGCAATATAAACACTGTACTTTTTAGCTATGTGTTCTTAAATTTTATTCTATTTCTTCCTCCTTCTAGTCTTAMCAAACTAAGAATAGAAAGTTTTATAACCCTTCCTTTTTCCTTCTCTCTATCCAGAAGAGTAGTTGATGGACTTTTAGTTCATCTAAGGCAAGCTATTACAAAGATATCTATAGTAGCCATATTATTGGACAGTCAGATTGAAGATCCACCATAGACKGTCTGCCTATGATTTTCTCCGGACCTAGTAGGAACCTGCTGCAATTAGAAGCAATAGGTAAAGAAGTTGATGCATCCTAGAACTGCTGGTAGGAATAGGTAGGGCTTGCAAGGCTAAGTAGAGTCTCTGATAGCATTCTCCTAGGACAGAGTACCTCGTTCAAGGCTCCAGTGCTTGCAAAGGAGTTATGTAAAGGAGATTTCTGTCATCCCTTCTACAGCTCCCACAGTAGCTTTTTTTTTCCTTTTTCTTTTTTTTTTTTTTCTTTTTAAAAAAAAAAGAAAAATAAAAAGGAGTGCAGAGGGAAGAATGAGGCAGTTTCTTGCCAGTGCAGTTGCTATTATTCTGTTGCAGAAGAAGAATGTTGTCTCAAAGAATTTAAAAATGTACTAGTATTAATGTCTGTCCTCAGTTACACTACAAGCCCTTGGAAAGCCCTTTAGAATAAATATTTTGAATGCTCAATGTTGCACTGGACAAAAGCAGATACTTTGCTAGGCAGTTTGAACATTTTGTACTAATTTTTTTTCCTTTAAAAGCTGAAAAAGTTCAAGAGAGTAACCCCCCCACACCAGCCAGCCACCCACAGAGAATAAAACCTGCAAAAAAACTAAAAGCCTCATAAGTGTGACTTTCTCTTCACTATAGGTGTTATCCCTTCCACAGAGGTAGAGAAGTCAGGCTTCTAGCATGTACCTAAGGCTAAATCCTATTCTCATTCAGCTATCTCCATAACAACTACATCAGGCACAAACACTTACAGGACACATGAATTAAGGCTGAAGACAGGAATATTTTTATTAACATTTCAGATAGGTTATGTAAAAATGACATGTTTCATAATAGATTCAGTATACTTAGAATCTAAGGAAAAATGTCACAATTTATAATTACATTCTTGACACTCTACAAAGAAGGAACTTGAGTAATTGCGTCCATTATCAAGTCTGAAATGTTGTCAGCTGAAGTTATCTAGCCTTCCTCCTCCTCCTCCAAAAAGCTTTCAGAAGGAAGGAAGGTAGTTAAATGCTTTATAAGAGGAATATTTTGAGTTAGATACTCCAACAGGACATCCAGACACTCCTTTGCTTTAGCTGCTTTCTCTCTACTCTGAGAGAGAACATTCCTAGAAAGTTCCTGAAAGGATGTGGCACCAGAGAAGGAAGTATGGATATCTTCAATGTGGGTTTTGATCTCATGGACCTGCTCTTGGATGTCATCAGGGACACTAGGGAGGCCAGGCATGAGGTCATGATGTATGTCCTTCAAGAACTGGATAATATGACAAACTGCTGCCAAAGCACAAGTCTCTGTTTGCTGAAAAGAAATATTAGAAGCTCAGAACAGAATTTTCTATATATAAAGAACCTCAGTATAAGGTTAGCAGTGCTTATGCGTTAAGATTACATCATATTGCACTGCTTGCTGATGTACCTCAGGCTGTGCAGACTCCAGGTGCTCATTTCCACCAGGCTGCCTTTTACTCCATTCTAGCCACAACTGCTTTTGCTTCTCCTGACCATTTTGAAGGTTAGCTTCCCCAGACTCCTTGTACCAGTCAATCTAAACATTAAATTAAAAAACCGTGTCTTCTCCATCTCAAAAATCGTAACTATAAAACTATATTGATAAAGTTATACACTTACTACTTGGCTTCTAAGAAATTAGTTCCGACTGTCAGTACACAGCTTTTAATAGAATATTTGAAAGCACTGTTTGTYGTTTGTCTTTGACTAAAGATCTTACAATAGGAGAAAAAAAGAGGAGGCTCCTACACAGTTACTGACATATAAAGATGTTTAAATTGCAGCTGCACTAGTGTGCATACAGAGGTGTCTCTATCAAGCATAATGTACACATAAAACAGGTGTGTCTGACATCATATACAAGTGTTGATCTTTTGATTAAAGTTATTCTTTTTAGGTAAGTTTATACTACATCCCTGTTACAATCCTGTCAAAAAAAAGAAACTTGATATAAATGCAATGTTATTAATTGATCAAATGCTGTCACTTCTGGGGGAAAAAAAAGTATTTGCTGAATCTGAATTGCTTTATTAGGAAGTTGAGTATTAGTCACATGGTAGCTCTCCAACTATAATACACATACAAGCTGAACCAACAATTGATAAAAAAAAATAAAGACTTATTCTGATTAAACTTAATTAGGACTTGAACACTGTTTGAGAAGCCTATATACTTCCTTACCAGGTCAATCGCCTCCTGAACCTGAGAGAATAGTTCCTTCATGCTTTGACCGACTTGTTTCATTTTCAACATGGAGTGGTGGCGGATTCTCTGATAGAATTTGACAGGAAGAAATTCCACATATCGGACAGACTCCTGATGCCTTCTCCATTTTTGCTGCTCCTCAGAAGCAGTTTCAAACACATCCAGAGATCTTGTGAACTCAGCTGTAAACATAAGTACACATCATGTTTTCCAAGGGGCAAAAACAGACTGCTGAATGTTAACTGCATATCTTTTTGGCAGAGAGAAATAAACTAATACATGCTTGCCCCTTCTCCAAGGGAGCCTTTCAAATCTTGTATTTTAAGGATACTACTTACTGTATGTTACTATGAGCATYCATACAGCCATTATATTAACTATGACAAGCTAAGCAACTTTTTGTCTATATCAAGGCAAGAATCAGTAGTTTATACTCATTAAGCAGTGAATTCTCATAGACGAGAAGGAATAAATCTAGCCTTCAGGGAAATCTAGGCTTCATGGTTTCTTTAATCAGACAGAAAAGAACACTAGCTTAAGTCAGTTTAAGTGTGGAATACAACTTCATAACAGCCATTGTGAAGTAAGTAAGTTACCAGACTCCAGATTTCTTGAACATATTTGTGTTGTATGTCAATGTCAGGGAGTTTAGAAATCAGGATTCACTTTAGATAAGTACTTATTCAGTAGGATGCCATAGAGCATCTGCATTCTTTAAAGGGAAGGATAATTTTGAAAAATCATTTGAAAGATATTTTGAAGGCAATACTTCTTACCTCATCTTCAGGCTGCTAATCTCAGAGTTCCCTGTAGTATGTTATAAGTAGTTTTGTCACTAGGGTTAAGAATTACTTTTTGTATTTTTGCGCAAGTAAATATATTGATGAGGAGTGAATAGTCTCCTGCCTTGAACAGCTGGAAAGTGACACACCTCAGTTTAATGTGCTCAGGAAGTGACCTCACTTGATTTTATGAAACAGAAGCCACTTAYTACCTTCAATATTTAGCCTGCAAGTAGATAGTCAAGAATTAATGCTTAACAGTAGCAATAGATTCATTACATTCTTGAAATACTGAACAATTTTGACAAGCCTTTAGCTCTTCCTTAAGAGTTTGCATGGAAGAGCAAGTGATTCTCAAAATAAAGGATAGTTTTTTTCATAGCAGATCTAAAACTCATTTATACACAACAGCAAGCATATTATTTATGTTTTGCAGAAAGCGTAATCCAATAAAAGACAATTCAGATGTAGTTAGCTTAAAACCAATTCATTCTAAAAACCTAGTCAGATTTCCTTTTTTTTTCTCTCCATGGACTTAAAGTAATTACTCACTCAATTCTTCTTCACCTGAAGGTAGGAAAACATCATCCAAATCCTCCGATTCCACCAGATAGGTGTGAAAACTGGCAATAGCTTGCTGGGTCACACTTGATTCTGGAGTTATATCCATGCTGCTATTTCCCCTCGACTGGGAAGCCTCCTCCTCATTCCCCTTTACAGTGTCTTCAGCTCTTTCCATCCTCAGTTACAGAATCTTTCCCCCTATCACATGATATAGAATAAATGAGTTCTACAGCAAAGAGTATCTAGGAAGACGAGTACAAACTATTGACCTATTAAATAGGTCAGAGTTTAGCTGTCAACATGTCATACTTTTCTATACTGTTCCTGGGTGCATTACACCTTTTTTCCCCCACCATGTTATGCAAGAGCATAGTTTGTGTCTATCAGCTTAGATAGATTTTCTATCAGTGACCAGAATACAGAAGATGTTACAGATGTTACAGAAATTTGATATGAAAAGTCATTATAAGCGCTTTTAAGTGATCATTCATGGAGCATTATGTTTTCCTAGTGTTAGACATGTGGACAAGAGACACATTATTGAACAGAGAACCAGTTAAAAATATTTTAAACTGTTTATGCACCCTTCCACATCATCTGTCCTTTCTTATATTGCAGGTTGTTTAAAGGAAGACCCGTTTTCTTAGGTGTGAGCTTCACATATGAGGTTTTCTGTGCCTAACTTTCACTCTTCACTACACAAAATTAATCCTTCAAGATTAGCTTGCATATTATAGGAAGTCCATATCAATGGAAGTTAGATCCAAGAAACTTAGGGTTTTTTTTGCTAAGCAGAAACATGCAAATACATTTCCATGTTTCTTTAGATAAAAATATAGAACATTCAAAGAAAGGATTGTCTATGACATTATCAAGAAAAGATATTTTCTTTTAATAAGCTTGTTAAACATCACTAATGCAACAGAATATTCATCTATAGCTCTTCATCAGCAATGTCTATTTTAGAAACATTTGGCTATTTCTCCTAGGAGTACATGGTAAAGCTAGGAAARGAGTAGCAAGGAAAGTTACTCTGAATTTAATGTCACCAGATAAAGTGATACATGAGTTTGTGTTCTCTTTGCATCAGTCACTTCTGGGTCATTGAAGAGTGCAAGTATGCTAGCCAGTACTCTTCCCTATATTCTTTCAAAGCTGAGAGAAATAAATAATGCAAGATCTTTGACAGAACACTAGAAATTACACCTACAAAGTTGTTTCCAGAAAAATTTCATCACTTACACCATACTGTGGAGAAATGAGTACTACATACAGTAACTTCTACTAGCAGCAGTATAAAAAGATAACGAGGTTGATGTTGCAGCAGTTACCCTCAAGACGGTTCTGACAAATCAAGTCAAAGGAGTCTTCCTCATAAGGAAGGATCACAGCTATGGAATCTTAATGGTGGGAAAAGACCTTCAAGATCAAGTCCAACTGTGAGACCTTCAACACCATACCTGTTCAACCATATCCCCAAGTGCTTCATCTACACATTTCTTGAACACCGGGATGCGACTCCACCACATCCTTGGGCACTCTTTCAATGCTTGACTGCTCTTTCCATGTAGAAGTTCTAATATCTAACCTGAACCTCCCTAGTGTAACTTGAGACCATTTCCTATTGTCTTATGGTAGTGTTTTGGAGAAGATATTGACCTGCACCTCACCACAACCTCCTTTCAGGAAGCTGTAGAGCAATAAGGTCACCCCCAGTATCTTCTCCAGACTAAATAACCCCAGCTCCCTCGGCCGCTCCTTGTAAGGTCTCTTTCTTATAAGGGGAGGTAACTGAATGTTCAAACTAATATTTTACTCCTTCACATAAAAGGAGAGCTGAACAAGAAGCATTGTCACATACTGTTAAGGCTAGACAGGTCTGTCTGTTCCTGTTACAGCAAGGGTCTTCATTAGGGCTCTTAAAAATGCTTACTTCCACCTTAATTTAATATTATACAGTCTCTTCCTTCCTTCACTGTATACTTGCTTCCTTCCATTACTATTAATATTTAATTCTTCTAGGATGTTCTTACTGAGGGAATTTAACTAAAGCTTTGCTGGTTGCATTTTCTTTTTTTTTAACAGTTAAAGAAAGAACAAGACACTATTAATTTCTCATTTTGCTCATATAGAAGACTTCATGGCTCAGATATATGTATAGGTGTGTGTCATATCTTTACAAGATGGCAGTCAAAAATAAAAGTCACCACAGTATTCAAGAGGAGCTTCTAATTTTGCTCATAACTCACTAAATTCCTCCTCAGTGGCTAGACAGCATGAATCTCATATTAAAAAAATAAAATATTGATAACAGAACTGCAACTATTGAATTTGGACTTCGTGGTGTCTAACAGATTGTTTAAAGTAAAGCTGAATAAATATCTTCATAAGACTGATGAAAACTTTCAGCCTTCTTTCTGGTTGAAAAAGGAAGAAAGAAAATTGAATACAAAAAAAACAATCTTAGTTGTCTCCATACTCTCAACAACCAGTTATAACTAAGCCCAAATTCAATAGTTCCATTTCTATTATCAATAAGCCCTTTTGTACTACCTCTTAGATATGGAATGAAACACACTTTACTCTTGGTAGGTCAGTACAAGCTTATATCCTCTCTACTTGATGCTAAGAATACCTCTCTAAGACTTTGAGTTATACTGACTACATTTCCCCTCRTTAAAGAGGACCCTTCCAAGATTATCAGTTTTAAGTAGATGCAAATACCATCAGCTTCCCAGATAATACATTATATGTGAGTACGTTATACAAAAGTGCACAAATCTATCCCTATTTAGCTAAACATAAACAATTCCTTTCTCCTCTTAAGATAATTATTTTCTAAATATTGGGAAAACTTAGCCTTTTCAGATAAATCATTAGAAAAATAACTTGGGGGAGAGTTTTTGTTTTTTTTAAACCTAAAGTGAAAAGTTCTTGCATTTTCTTGCCTTTTAAAATCACGAATTCCAAAGTCTGTTTTTTTTATACCTTCTCATTCAACATGAAAATGCCAGGTATTTCCAAAATAACTTTTCTGTTTGGTGTCAAGTTCATTTATGTCCATCTCTTTCTCCTCTACAGAAGCTATTAATATACTGTAAACAGATATCAAAGCATTTGATTGACCTAGCTCTCTTAAAAAGGAAGAAATAAAGTGGAGATAAGCATGAAATGATTGCAATCAGCTCCACATAAAGTCTCAAAGTATGAGGTGCATTAACTTTACAAAAACTTATTGTCTATAAAAGTCACCCAGTATTTCTTCTCTCTGTAGTCTTCTGGCTTATAGAAGCACATACTTAGCTTGACATTTCATCATTTATGTTTACTAATAATAGCTACCTAAATTAGCCACAGCGATCACATACTTTACCTTGTAAGTTTTAGAAGCTAAGTCTCAACAGAAAGCCTAATTATAAAAAAACAAAGTCTAATTATTTTCTAAGTATTTTGTTAGCCTTTACCATAAGGMCATTGTTTTGTTAGAAAAGTACATGTCAAAATTAGACTTCTAGAGTAAAGTTCTTCTAGAACTTCTGTGGTAAAATTGTTGCTTCATCAAGAACACTTAGAAAATATCAAATTGGGCACTTGAGACTCAAGAGGTTCTTATTCTATACTTTTCAACAAATCGGTATCTTTATTTTCAGCTTTCAGCATCCATTTAACTTTTTTTTCCCTACARTAAGGATTTAAGTTTTGCTGTTATGAAAACCTAATTAAATACACATAAATATATATATATAAACTTACCTTAGAGAGTAGAAATACACACAGATCAAGACAGGAAGAAAGAAAAGTTGTTTTTAGAAAGAAAGCTCTTGTTAGAACAGCTAATAACCAAAAGCACATACACTTCTAATAATAATAATAATAATAATAAAAAAAAACCCTAAAAAACCAGTGACACTACTAACTCTCTTTCCTTTCCCAGCCCATACTCTTACCTAGCTAATCTTTATCCAATCTAGATTGCAAAACATGGCTCTGCTCAACTTATATATCAAAATAATGAATCACTCTAGGACATGAAAGCCCAGAAGCCCAAGAAACCAAACAGATGATGACAGCTGTCTGGAATTACATTTAATTCAACCACTTAATTCTTCTTTCTGAGGTAGTGGGTTTTATCTGCATGCAGCTGCATCTAATTCAGTATCCCTTTTCTTTTCCTATATGCTCTTTTTTTCTGTATCACAAAGCAATTATAGTTAGAATGAACCTTTGGAGATCACCTAATTCAACTTCCCTATTCAAGTTGTGTAACTTAGAACAGTTTTTCTGGGGCTGTGTATCTTTTTGAGTATCTCCGAGGACTGAGACTCTACAGCCTCACCAAGTAATCTGTTCCAATGCCTGATAATCCTCACAGCTTAAAAAAAATACCCTAAAGAACAGCAGTAAAACCCTGAACATTTAAATATTATTTCTGGTATGTCAGTTTGTGTCCAGGGTAGAAAAACATTGGTCAAGCCATTGTAATTCCTGGGTCCGTGGACAGGTTGAACCACTTTCCTCCTCTCAAGTCAGGACACTGCCTGAGGAGACAGATGCTGGAGGGAAGATTTCATCATAACTTCTGGGATCAGTTGATGGACTGATCCCCCTTTCCTCCTCTCGGGTTGGGACGCCACCTGAGGAGACTCCTTCAGGTTGAGAGCCCTCTCCAAATTTCTGGGGTGGGGAATGATTGCATTTTTGTACACTAGACCCTAGCTAAGAACCCCTCACTATAGTAGAGAATTTCCTGCACTGTCATACCAAACTTGATTTGTAAATGTTGCATTTGAATAAATCATCCTACCCATGGTCTCAACTCACTCTTTAGAAGGTGATCGGATCTACAGTCAACAGGCTCCTTGTGAATCTGATATTGTCAGAATCGAGCCTATAGTTGATCATGCTATTTGTGAACTGGATTTGCTGCTTTGAAGGCAATGGGACCTACAGTTGTCAAACTGCTTGTGAATTTGGTACTGCCAGAGTCAGGCCTGTAGATATTACAATATTTGGTATCTCTATCCTACACCAACTCTGCTTAAAACTGCAACACTCAGAAATGAAAGAGAGAAGACAGGCAGACATCTGATAAAGAGAAAAAGTTAGTTGAAGGATAGCTAGGGTCTCAGAAGGAAGAATAGATACATGGACTATGTAGGGAGGAAATAGGAGCTTGGAGAAGGAAAGGACATTTCTTTGTCATTTTGGCTTGTTACAAGTTACATAGTCCAGGAGGATAGCTAGTGACCTTATTTTTGTAACTGAATGATAAAGCACAGCTTAGCAAGTGCCTTCTTCCAGTTTTTAGGTTTTAAGATGAGTCTCATTATAACCTATATGTATCTGTTTATATGTAGTCATGTTAGTCACTCAAGGGAGTGACTTAGTATGCAGACTGCTTTATTGAAGAAGAGATAGGGCCTAGTTGTATTCTGCTGGTATGTATTCATACATACATACTTTTTCTGACTTCTCCTGTTGCTGACTTCATGATAGCAGACTTTGTTCACAACAATTAGATCTTTAACTGGAATTGGATGAGCTGTCCATATCCTTGCAAAAGGAACTAGTATGACAAGTGGAATACACCTTTCTGACACTGCTTTGGTAGTCGGTTACTGGCTTTAGCACCTTTGTGTGATACTTTTCATTTGAGAGGACTATGCTTTTTCTAAGTGGATATTTCTTGCCTTATGTGAATCCAAAGGAAAGACTGGCATAAAAGAACAAAGATTTTCATTTTTTTTTATATCCCTGCAATTACTTTGTAATTCCATTACTCTAATATCTATGTGTTTCTAATGAAAGGCACACATCTGAAAGTCTTTTTAAAAGGAAAACTATAAATTAAACTTTTTTTCCGGCTTAGGTATTTGAGTTTGTTTATTTGGGTAATGCATTTTGGCAACCCAGCAAGACATCACAATTTGCATGAAAAAATCTATCTTAATCCTTTTTTTTTTTTTTTTCTTTTCTTTTTTCTTGTTGTATATGATCTAGAAAATGGTGGGTGTTATGTACTGATATATTATGTAGCTTCTCTGCTTTTCCTATTTCAGGGGGAAATATAACTGTATTGAGCAGCTGTAACTTTAACCTGATCTCAAGAATTTCTGGTAACAAAAGTACAACAGCTTCCCTGTGTTGTTAAAAATTGTTGCAGTATCAAGTAATTTATTTCTTTGGTTTTAAGCCTACAGAAGCCACACAGATCAAGAACATGTATATAAATATATATATATATAGACACGTATTTGAGAATATGCTCATATAAATCTCTCATGGTAGATGATTTATGCTTCTATGTTTATCTAAAAAAATAGTAACTTAAGGATATCTGTGTAATTTGAAAATTCTGTGCTAAATAATATCTGATTTTTTTTTCAAAAATGAACTGAATGAAGTATCTATTTTTAAGGACCTAAGAAATGAATGTAACTTCTTATATATTTTCCTTCATTGTCTTTAATGCTATCTTTAGTGAGTGCTCTGGCTGGACTATTCTCGGCTGTTACAGTGAAATTCAGATAAGTGCCTTTTGCATACCTAGTGATTAATTAGTGGTAGGATCGCTTGAAGAAATGGATTAAGGACATGACAAAGTGTTCAGAAAGTAACTGTATAGACATCTGACCAGATATTTTAAGGAAAAAAATAAAAGAAAAAGGAGAGAGAAAGAGCAAAAAGTGGAGAAAGTACCCAAATGTATTCTTTCCAGGAAAAGGGGATAACACATCAATTTCTAGATATGGAATGATGCCAAATGGCAGATGCCAGGGAGAGTAAAGAGCAGTTAATAAGGCTCTGCTGAAAAGCAAAGGGCATGCTTATAATTTGAGTGGGGGAATTGTGGCAAGATGCACAAAATCCTGCCCCTTCTCCCCCCACCTCACAAAAAAAAGAAAGAGACAGCTGAAACAAAACTCCCAACTCTCGTGTTGGCTGAAATGAATAGTTGTTGTTTTTTGAAACTATTGGAAAGTGTGAGTGTCCATCTGAAAAAAAATAAAAATAAAAAGGGAAACTCTTCAAATCTTGAAGCGTTCTGAGAAGACAGTTGTAACCTGAAGTGTAACATTAGTTATGCTTTGTGAAAATAGAGACACTTTAGTGGCATATCTTTACTTCTCTTGAATAAGAGAATATCTGTGGGTCTTTTGTTTGTTTTTGKTTTAATTTTACTTGTAGAAAATAGTCATTTTAATGAACATTCCTTTAACCAACACCGTAAACTCTGGATATAAGAAAAACTTCATACTGTAATAAAAGAAAGCAAGAGGGAGCTTACTTATTGAAGAGGGAAGAGGGAGAAAGAAGGAAAAAAAATACAAAAAATCCTCAAATAGAAGAGATCATATAATACTACAAAAAATGTAATACTATCAAAGTATTACATGGTCTTTCATTCAGTTAAGAGCATAAGAAACATCGCTATCAAAGTAGAGAAAGGATTGTTGCATTATTCAAGCAGAATGATAAAAATGTAGCAGAGCTCCCTGAGAGTTATTTTGTTCTTCTGCAAACTGCAAGAATTTTAAGATTTCAGCTGTAGAAATATATATCTGAAGATTTGTTCCTTGCCTTTAGGATGGAGAGCCTTAGATATAACTCCATGCGGGAAAATGTTGAAAACGGAACATAGAATAAGAAATAATAGAAATATTAAGTGAGGATCTGGTTAGTGACACAGGAAAATGTTCTCTGCTTCTCCCTCTGTTCTGCCTTACTTTTTTTTTTTTTTTTTCTGAATTACTTCAAGAGTCAGGCATGTGAATTTTAAATACTCTGTGAAATGTGGTAGATAGATGCCAACACTTGCCTTACACTCTTGTTTGACCGTAAATAGATGTTCTTCCTGACTTATGGATATTCTGCCTCTTAAATTTCTGTGTGTCAGTTAAACCAAGCACTTGTTTCACCTCCAAATTTTCAAATTATTGCCAGGAAATAACCAGAATTATTTTGCGAAGTGTCAACAGTTTCAATAAGGTGATTCAGTAAGAATGAAAAAATGCGGAGGTGTTTGTACTCAATTGAACAGCTGTGTTAAAAAAAGGCTTCCTATTTTGTGGATGTGCTTGTAAGRAAATTCATATTTCAGTAAAAAAGTTGGAAAGTGAGAAAGGGAGAAGCAGTCTTTGTAGCTTGTTTCTCAGTCCTTAGGGAACTTAACAATATAGGATATATTTCCTCATAAAATACATAAAAGATGCAGAACTTAAAGATCGGTTCATCTCACCATCTCATGTGTCCACAGACTTGCTCTATTCAAGCTAAAAATATTTCATACTTTCAGTACATTTCCTAATCTTTCCTCTTATGCAATCTGAGAAATTATACAACTGCAAAACAGAAAAGTTTACGTTAGTATTTCCTTTAAAATGTCCTTTACAAAGTTACCATGTCACAAGAAATGTTACAAATATTTTCATTTCAAATAGGAGCAAAATCATGTTGAGAATGAGAATATTCCTATAAAGGGATGTCTTTGACCCTTGAAAAGTTGCAAGAAAGTGGGTGAGAATAAAGATAAAAATATATTTAATGTACATAAATAAAATCTTATATGATTTTGCTTTGATATTTTGGGTCAGAATATGTTCACGCCTGTTCAGCATCAAAATGAAATTTTGCATTACCAGATGTATGGGATAAAATATGAAAGGCAGATGAGCAGGTGCAGCTGCCATGATCCTTCCGATAACCGGCATCAGAATTTGAATAGCAGTGAGAACTGCTCTGCCTTTTCACTTCTGAAATTTCATTCTTCAAATCAGGCCAGGCTATACCTTTAATCTATCTTGATGATAACTCCACCTACTCTGAATAAAATAGGAAGCTCAGTGTTC